GGGAGGGAGCCTAAATCGTTTGTGGGGAGCCTTGTTTGTAGGCATGGTGGAGAAGGGTCCCAGGGCACCAACGATGTGGGATGGGTGGCCTGGGAGATCCAGGAAGGAAGGCTGCTGACAACTACATCTGTCATTCCTCAGTCATGTGCTCCTGGAGGGGTGGGGGAGTCATGCTATTGATTCATCATTTGGATGATTCATCCCGGCCCCCCCAGGCCAGCTGCTGCGAGACCCTTCCTCGTCTTTTTTTTCAGCTTCTCCTAGAATATCCCTGCCCCTTCCCTAGGCCATAGCTTCCTGAGTCCCAGGACTTGGCTGGAAGTGAGCATCTACCATGTAAAGCCCCTGTGTCTGGGACTGGGGGTCTGGCTCTGTCCTCACACGGCTCGTGCTTCTCCCCCGCCCCCCACTCACGACCACACATACTGGTTTTCTCCACCTTTGCTGAGGCTGATAAGAGCATCTCCCCAAGGGTTGGCCAGCTTCCCTGAGCCAGGAGGGAGAGCCGTCTAGAGCCATTAGGTCTGGCTGGGAGGGCTGTGATTTGCCACCCCTCCTGGCTATTCAAGGAGGGTTGGGGGTGAGGCCCTTGGCAAGTATGTGTGTGTGTGGGGGGGGTGCAGCAAATGGCCTAGGGATGGCCTGATGGGGGCAGGGCCAGGGCCTCCCTGTGCCGGGCACTGTTGACGCCTTCTGTCACAAGGGCCTTTTGTTTTCTGCACAGGACACATTGAATAATAATTCTCTGGGCAAGAAGCACAGTTGGCAGGATCGGGTGTCTCGGTCATCATCACCCCTGAAGACCGGTAAGTCAGGACCCTTTCCCTTACCTGGCCCTCCACCTGCCCTGACTCAGTTTCCCCTGCAGAGAGCAACCCGGCAGGCTCCATCTTGCCGAGGTGCGGTAAACCGTCCATCAAACAGCCTTGAGCAGGCCCATCTGAAGTCGGCTGGGACGGGAGTGAGAGCACTGGCCCCAGAGCCCACCGTGGCCTAGCACCCGGGAGCCTTCACGTGCTCAGTGGAGGGGGCAGGTGGCCTGGGAGTCAAGGGCGAGGCCAGCTGCCTCGAGCACTGACCTGCCTGCCCTCCAGGGGAGCAGACGCCTCCACATGAACACATCTGCCTGAGCGATGAGCTGCCGCCCCCAAGCAGCCCCGCCACCACCAAGGACCGAGGCACCTCTACCGACAGCCCCTGCCGCCGCAGCACCGCCACACAGATGGCCCCTCCCGGCGGCCCCCCTGTGGCCCCCCCGAGCAGCCGGGGCCACTCGCACCGAGACCGCATCCACTACCAGGCGGACGTGCGGCTAGAGGCCACCGAGGAGATCTACCTGACGCCGGTGCAGAGGCCGCCGGACCCTGCAGAGCCCACGTCCGCCTTCCTGCCGCCGGCCGAGAGCCGGATGTCAGTCAGCTCCGATCCAGACCCTGCGGCCTACCCCTCCGCGGCGGGCCGGCCGCACCCCTCCATCAGTGAGGAGGACGAGGGCTTCGACTGCTTGTCATCCCCGGAGCGGGCTGAGCCGCCGGGCGGGGGGTGGCGGGGGAGCCTCGGGGAGCCGCCGCCGCCTCCACGGGCCTCGCTGAGCTCGGACACGAGCGCCCTGTCCTACGACTCGGTCAAGTACACTCTGGTGGTGGATGAGCACGCACAGCTGGAGCTGGTGAGCCTGCGGCCGTGCTTCGGAGACTACAGCGACGAAAGCGACTCGGCCACCGTCTATGACAACTGCGCGTCTGTCTCCTCGCCCTATGAGTCGGCCATCGGGGAGGAGTACGAGGAGGCCCCCCGGCCGCGGCCCCCGACCTGCCTCTCCGAGGACTCCACGCCGGACGAGCCCGACGTCCACTTCTCCAAGAAGTTCCTGAACGTCTTCATGAGCGGCCGCTCTCGCTCCTCCAGTGAGTCTGCAGCGGGCGCGGTGGGGGGCCTGGGATGGGGCAGCGCCGAATCGAGGGTGTTCCTGGAAGGTGGCCTTGCCCGTCTGCTTCAGGGTGTCAGGACTGAGAGCCTACTACCTGTCCCCCCGCCAAACCTCAGCCGGAGTGGGTCGGCTCTCCTTCAGCTCATCCCCCTCGCTTGCAGGTGCAGAGTCCTTCGGGCTCTTCTCCTGTGTCATCAATGGCGAGGAGCGGGAGCAGACACACCGGGCCATATTCAGGTAAGAGCTGCAGGGCTGGGCCAGCCAGGCAACAGTGGGGCCACCCGTCCCAGCCGCTGCCATCCCTGCGTGGCCTAGACCCAGCGCTCATCCCTCTGCTCAGCCCCAGGGGGCCAGGGTCCACCCCGGCAGAATTGAGGGCAGTGTGGCCTTGGCCGTGCCGCCGGGGCCTGAGACCGAGCCCCACGTCTGGCTGGGGGCCGGAGCCCGGGGAGGGTGCCCGGCAGAGATGATGCCTGGCCATGCACAAGGCACACCCCTGCCCGCCCTCCACAGGGAAGTGCTCACCTCCTGTTACCTCTGTGTTTCTCGAGTGGCTCTGGGTACCTCCTCCCTGAGCCCACAAGTTCCTGGACGGCAGGTGCCCGTCTGCGCGATCTTGCTCTTCCCTGGGAACTAGCATGAGCACAGACCCAGGAGACTTTACGGAGGTTTATTGAACTGGTGCCGCTCTGGCAGCCGCCTGCCCCCAGGGCTGTGTGGGGAGCAGAGAGATGACCCGGCTGGGGAGGCCCTGCGGGTGAATTCCTGCCTTGCCCTTGTGGGGGGGCAGGTTTGTGCCTCGACATGAAGATGAACTGGAGCTCGAGGTGGACGATCCTCTGCTGGTGGAGCTGCAGGCTGAGGACTACTGGTACGAGGCCTACAACATGCGCACAGGCGCCCGGGGGGTCTTCCCCGCCTACTATGCCATCGAGGTCACCAAGGAGCCGGAACATATGGCAGGTAGCATCCTTTCCCCTCCTCAGCGCCACCGGCCCCCCCGCCATTCCCCCTTTGCTGCCAGGTGACTTCAAAGCCCCAGGGAGGGCCCTGGCAAAGGGGACGTTAGGTGCGTCTCCCACCAAGAAAAGGGAGGCCCGGCCGAGTTGGGACACCCGGGGACTGCGGACCCCTCTGCTGGCTCAGCCAGCCCTCACTTCCCGCGTGCTTTCCAGCCCTGACCAAAACCAGCGACTGGGTGGACCAGTTCCGGGTGAAGTTCCTGGGCTCCGTCCAGGTTCCCTACCACAAGGGCAACGACGTGCTCTGTGCTGCTATGCAAAAGGTGCCTGTTCCCCGTGCCCCCCCGGCCCGGGACCCCTGCCCTCTCCTGGGGAGAGGGGCGCCCAGTGCCTGATGCCCGCCCCTCACCCACAGATTGCCACCACCCGCCGGCTCACCGTGCACTTTAACCCGCCATCCAGCTGCGTCCTGGAGATCAGCATGCGGGGCGTGAAGATCGGCGTCAAGGCTGATGATTCCCAGGAGGCCAAGGTGACCGCCCCGGCCGCCCTCCCCCCTCCAGATCTTCCACCTGTGGCCCCTGTCGGCTGATGACACTCTGCCTCTCATTTCCCTCCTGCAGGGGAATAAATGTAGCCACTTTTTCCAGTTAAAAAACATCTCTTTCTGTGGATACCATCCGAAGAACAATAAGTAAGTGGGAGGGGACAGTGATGTGTGAGGGGGTGGCCTGGGGCTGTGTCGGTTGGGTGCGGGTCTGTGAGTATGTCTGGAGGGGGCTGAGCCCCCGCGCCGCCCTCAGACAGATGGCTCTCCTCGTACAGGTACTTTGGGTTCATCACCAAGCACCCCGCTGACCACCGGTTTGCCTGCCACGTCTTTGTTTCCGAGGAATCCACCAAAGCCCTGGCAGAATCCGTGGGGTATGTGCGCGCGTGCGTGCGTGCGTGTGTGTGTGTGTGTGTGTGTGTGTTCGTGTTCCCTGCCGGGCACCCAGCCCCAGAGCACATGCCAGTTCCCCTCCCAGCTTTGCACGCCTCGTGGCCTCGAGCCCTGCTGCGTGGCCTTGAGGAGTAGCTCCCGACCGGCTGTTGGGCCCCTCCTTCAATGGCAGTGTCACGCAGGAAACACCCCGTGGGGACAGCAGAGCGAGTAGCTCCCTGCCGGGGAGCTCAAGCCCTAGCCGGGGAGCCGAGGCTCCAGGTGAAAAACCGCAGGTGGAAATGGGGTTCTTCCTGTCACCTGGGTGTCCGCCTGCTTCCTAGGAGAGCATTCCAGCAGTTCTACAAGCAGTTCGTGGAGTACACGTGCCCCACGGAAGACATCTACCTGGAGTAGCCGCGCTGCCCCGCCCTCTCCATCCCCGGGCCCACAGGCTGCGCCGGGACACCTGGCTGCTGACGGGACGCGGCACTGCTTGAGGAGGGGCGCCCGTCACCACCCGAGGACGGGGAAGTGGGGGCCTTTGGCCGAGGGTGGGGGAGGGCGGGGTTTCTAGGGAGAGGCAAATGCAGTTTATTGTAATATATGGGACTAGATGCATCTATGGAGGACAGAGCAGGCTGCCCGGGGACTGGGAGGCGGCGGGGCTGGGGGGGTGACAGGCCTCTGGCCAGGAAGGATGTCCGTCATAGGAGCCGAGGGCTTGGCCCCATCCTGGGCGTCGCTTCCCCTGCCAGGGCCTCTGGCTCTTTCTCCAAGCCCATGCCACCTGCCAGTGCCCACCCCCCCCCCATCCCCAGCGCCTGGCTGAGCCCAGCCACCTCCCAAGGACTTTGCGGCAGGTGGGGGTGAAGTCCCTGTTCCCCTCTGTCACTTGTGTGGCCTCTGGGTGGCCGGCACGCTGGCTCCTGGCACGTGTGGGGGCTCACCAGGGAAGAAGAGCGCTGCGGCAGGGCCCCCGGCCCAGCAGGAAAAGGCGGCTGCTGGACAGGCCCGGGCCAGCCAGGGCCTCTTGGCTGCTTCGGCTGTAGCCCCAGCTTGGTCCTGTCCCCCCTGGCCTTTCCTATTAAAGTGCCATTTCCTGTCTGGACCGCAGTGGGTGTGTCTCCCTGCCCCCGCCCCCCGCCCCCAGCTGGTGTCCGTGCCAGGAAAGCCCAAGCCTTGGCTGCACAGAATAGCTTTATAAGGGGCTCCCGTCACACGGGTGCATCATAGTAATACTCAGCCATGTCCGGCCCGTCCCGCTTGCGCTGCTGGGCCCGGGAGAGAAGGGGTCGAGGCCCTCGCGGCCAGGGGTGCTTGGGTCGAACCCCATAGTCTAAGGAGAGAAGGGGGTGTGGGTGGCAGGGGAATCTGCCCAGATCACCCCAGAACAGTGCTGTTTGGGATGAAAAGTCCCCGCGGCTGGACGTGGGTGCCCCCCCCCGGCATGTGTCCCACATTGGGGGGCAGGGGGGCGGGCAGGGCTGAGATACTACCATCCACTAGGCCAGAAAGTGGCTGCGAGAGTTCCAGAGGGGCTGAAAGTTCTTCAGGGACAGATCGCTGAGGCCTGTGGGAGATGTTGGGGTGCTCAGCCCTGGCCCTGCAGCCTGCTAACCACCTCCCTGTGAAGGCTCAGTGGGGGGCCTGGGTGAGCCCCGATGCCCGATGCCCGGGGTAACAGCACCAGCCAGTCCTCCGGGGCAGGGTGGGGAGTGGGAGGCGGCACGCAGGACCCCCTGCCTTCCAGGCCCCCTGCCCGGTGGACTGCTGACCCTGTGCCCCCAGGAGTTACCTCAGCGGCTGGGGGCGGAGGAGTGCAGCAGCCAGGACGAGGTAGAGGAGGAAGAGGCTCAGCCCGGCCCTGGGATACAGAGTCCCCAGCATGGCGAGAACCATCTCCTGCTCCAGCCCTTGTCCCCCAGCTTCTGCCTGCCCCTCCCCCGGCAGGAGGACGGAACCGCTGCTACCCGCTAGGGCCACCTCACAAAGGCTGGTCGTTCCAGGGCTCCACGGCGGGGCCAGAAACCTCCAGCTGAGGTTCGGTTTGGTTTTTTGACGCTGTCGGCCTACAGGTGCCAAACTGCACCTTGCTCTAGTGTCACTGCCCGAGGGTTAAGGGCACAGACCTTTGGAGTCTGATCTCGGTTCACACCCCCACCTTGCCTCTTGGGAGGTGGACAGGTCACAGGTGTGGGCCTCCGTTTTCTCATCTGTGAGGTAAGGTACATACCTCTGCCCAAGGGGTGGCGCACGGGAGAGGTCACGTGGAGAGCCCCAACCATCCCCACCTCCTGCTGCCACCACCCTGTCCCTCCCTCAGCGATGCCAGGAACGTCCTCCGACCCGCTCAGAGATGACACTGGGGAGGGGGGGAGCCAGCTCTGAGAGAGTTCTTCCCCAGTTCCCCGAAGCTTCCAACAGCCCAGCCCCGGGGCTCTCCACCACCCCTGAGGCTGGACAGACGGATTTTGAGTGAGGTGGCAAAGCCCACAACTTGCTCCCTGGAGTGGAAGCTTCCCGAGGGTAGAGACTGGTTTTGTTCACTGCAGGATCCCCAGCCACACCTGGTGGATGCTCAGTAAATATTTGTTGAATGAATAAACGCCACGTGATAGCATGGAGCCGGTCTCTTCTCAGGCTGAGGCAAAGCTGTGGGGCCCTTTGCTTCCTGCGCAGCCCGTCAGTGGCGCGCGGGCCTAGCTCCCTTTGGAAGCCCCGGGGCTTTAAACCTGAGACCCCTGGCCCCGTCCAGACCTGTGGAGTCAGAACCTGAGGGCTGAGCAGGGCTCGAAACTTTGGAAACCCCATCACTTCTAAGGAACAGACCTACCGGGGGTCCAGTCCTATGCCCCTGACTGCTGACGTGCCCAAGGCCCGGAGACGGGCATCCTTGCCTCCTGGTCCTCAGTAACCCCCAGGGTGACAGGTGCTGGCATCTCCTCAGACTGTCCCCGTGTGCTCTGAGCCCACACACTAACCGCTCAGTGGTCCTCTCCCTTTCTGTGTCCTGGACACCACTGTCCCTCACAAGCCCGTGTCCCCATCCTCCGTCCTCACCGCTACCGGGAACCCTGAGTTCTGGACACTTTGCCCAACTCAGTCCCTTGTCCCTCATCCCCCTTGCCTCTGAGAGGCCACCGTCTCCCTCTCTATCCACTCCCAGTCCCTAGCCTGCCTGGGTGCCACCTACACCCTGTCATCCCCCGGCCACGGCCTTAATCCAGCCCCAACCACTGTTGGAGGTGTCTGCCGCCACGTCCCTGTGCTCAGCCTCCAGCACCACCTGCCGGAAGCCCCCCCACACCAGGCCGCTGGGGTGCGGTGTATTTTATTTTTTAATGACTTTTTTTTTTTTAAGATTTTATTAGAATGGGAGCACGAGAGGGAAGAGGGTCAGAGGGAGAAGCAGACTCCCTGCTGAGCAAGGAGCCCGACGGACTCAATCCTGGGACTCCAGGATCATGACCTGAGCCGAAGGCAGTCGCTTAACCAACTGAGCCATCCAGGCGCCCTATTTTTTAAAATTTTATTTGCGAGAGCAACAGCACAAGCGGGGTGAGGGGCAGAGGGAGAAGCAGGTTCCCCACTGAACAAGGAGCCCCATGCAGGACTCGATCCCAGGACTCCGGAATCACGACCTGAGCTGGAGGCAGACACTTAACCGACTGAGCCACCCAGGCGCCCTGAGATGAGGTTTAAAACGCTCCCCTCCCCACTGCCTTCCGGAGGCAGGTCTGAGTTTCTTGCCTGCCCTGCAAGGGTCTGTTGGATTCAGCCCTGACCTCCCCCCTTCCGCCGCTCCTCCCTCCCTTCTGCCCCAGCAGCAGCGACTCACTGCACAACCTGTTCTCCCAGCCGGCCCCACACTGGTGCAGGGTTACCCCTGCTTGAACCGAGGCCTCCCTGACGGGTGCGCCCTCCACAGGCATCCGTCCAGGCAGCGAGCACCTCCACTCACTCACCTCCGACCCAGACTCCCTCAGGTACACGCTCCTACCTACTCCCACGCCCTGGCGCGCTGCATTTGTGTGTCTCTGCGGATGGGTTAGCGCCCAACAGCAAGGCCGGCTTTCCTCCCGCCGCACGCACAGCCCCCCGCCCAGAGCCCACTGACAGGGCACGTGCCCAGCAATGGTCCTTGTACCCAACAGATTGGGGCCCCAAGCCGTGACCACCTGAAGCCTCGTCCCTTCACCTTCCGGCCCAGGACCTGGGCGTGCCTTCCCAGAGGCACTTGCGGGGCATGGAGGGTAGCAGGGGAAGGCTAGCCCCTCCTCCCGTGGCTCCCCCCAGTGTCAGAGGAAGTGAGGCAGGGCAGAGGTGGTGCGGATGGAGCCCTCAGAACTTGGAAGGCAGCTCACCCGGCTAGAAACTCCAGCAGGAGAGTTAGGTCTATTCACAGGGCAAAGGGGACAGGGGCGGAGGCTGAGGAAGGGGACGGACCAGGCAGAAAGGCCAGGCTGCAGTCGCCCCGTCTGGGCGCTTGTACCCCCCCACCCCCCTGCCGTAGCCTGTGCGTGGCCCCGGGGGGACTTGGCCACCAGGGAGCGGGCAGGGGGTGTGTGCAGAGACCCCCAGCTCCTCCCCGCTGAACCTGCACCCGCTTGGGCTCCCAGCCCCTCCAACGCCCGCCCCCAGCACCGGCCCCAGGGCTGGCTGGTGCCTCACCTTCTTTGCCTGTGGGAGAACACCTCCAGCTGTGAAACAGGGGCTCGGGGCTCGAGGTGTCACTGCACCAAGCCGGGCCCACCATTCACCAGGCTCCGTCACAGACAGGCTGGCAGGCTAGAGAACAGGGCCCTGCAGGGAAGGGGCAGACAGAGGCTCTGGCCAGAGGCCACACGGGCAACGGTCACCCCCTGCCCCATTGGACCTTGTCTGTTGTCACCAGGGACCGGTGAGAGAGCAGCTGAGTTCACCTCCGCTTCCCACACTCAAGGACACTAGACCCCAGCTTTCTGTGGCCAGAGGAGCCCAGGTCCCCGTCCCGACGGGAGGCTTCTCAGCCCAGGGACAAGGTGCGGGCCGCAGTGGCTCCATCGCCAGAGGGTGAAAAGTCGAGAGGATGTCCGGGGTGGGGGGGGGGTGCCCGGTGAGCCAGGTGGGAGAGCTGGGAGCCCTGGGTGGCGGGCACGGAGAGGCCACATGCTGGGACGCTGCCACAGTCAGTTTTATTAGGGCGAAGAGGCCCTGGGGGACTCGACGGCCGGGGCACCCCCTGCCCCTCCGTGCGCCCCCTCCCGGGATGGGTCAGCCCCAGCTGTAGAAATAAATTTTCTGCCAGGTGGGCAAGTAATCCATGAGCGGCCCTGCAACGAGAGAGAGTTCGGGGCTGAGGGCCAGACTCCAATCTGACTCTGCTCTACCTAAGGCCCTTCTCAGCCACGCTGCCCCAATACAGCTGCTCACATCCGTCCAGCCAGAGCCCCACTGACTCTCCCGCCCGCCTGCCCCTCGGGAGGCAGCAGCGGCAGCGACCTCTGTCCCCCTTTGCAAAGACCTCAGCCTCAGAGAAGCCACGTGGCTGAGGTAAGAGCTCCAAACAGCCTGGTGGGCTTCAGTCCCGCCACAGAAGCCCCAGAGAAGCCCCAGGGGTGTACAGCTCCAGGATCCTGAGGCCGGGCTAAGGCTGACAGCCCAGTGTGGCCCAACACTCCTCCCAGGACAGGACACCTTCTTCCAGCAACCTGAGGCTCTACGGGCCGGCCTGGCCCTGCCCAGGAGCTGCCACCCACCCAACCTGACCTCTGGGCTCCCTCTCCTGACTGTGTCAAGAATCAAATGACAAGGAGATAAAGAGAAAAGTCAGGGACACGGGGCCACTCGAAAGATCCGCGATACTCGATAATCACACCCCCACCCCGCACTTACTTGCGACCAGGCCAATGCCCGGGACGTGGTCCGCCAGCAGCTGGAGCAGGAAGAGGATCCTCGCCCTGCGGAGAGAAGATGAGCACAACAGGCTGGCCCGGGCCGCCCACAGCTCGGCCTGGGCCTGGTGCTGCCTCACAGCGTCCCACAGGCTCCCGCTGCTCTAGCCCTCGTCTTGAGCCAGCACACCCCCGGGGCAGTCCCGGCACGGGGATGGTGAGGGCCCAGAGGGAAGGACAGCCCTGCTGCCTTCAAGAAACCCCCCCCCCCCCGTAAGCCCGAAGCGCTGAGCCACACTGAAACCTCGTGAGCCAACGCTGAGTGAGCAGGCCCAGGGCGGGGGCGGGGGCCCAGGCCCTATTGCTTCTTAAGAGACAGGGCTTTCCCACAGGAGAACCTGGGGTGAGGCGACAGGAACAAGAGAAACGATGGTAAGACTCGGCATTGGTTAAGTGATTCGGTACCAGGTGCTCCTCCACGTCTGAGGTCACTTAAGGGCTCCCACGACCCCGTGAGACGGGCCCGAGCACGTCCCCGTTGCACAGAGGAGGCACAGAGAGCGCTTTGGTAACTTGGCCCGGGTCACACAACTGCAAGGCAGCCTGGCCCGAGATGACACTCGGCCTCTGACAGGAGGGACAGAGCGTTCCCTGCACAGCCTATACCCCAGAGCCGCTCAGCAGCTTGCTCCCTGTCCTCTGAGGTAACCAGGAACTTCACCAGCAGGTTTCTAGACTTTTCTCAGCCTGGGCCACTGCTGTGAGGGTGCTAGGCTGGTCCACTCAGCCGGGGCCACACTAGAGGCTTGCCGCCTGTGGGACCACCTCTGCGGGTCCTGTCGCCTCAAAATGCCTCAGTTCCACGATCCTGGGGCTTTGCTTCCTCTGCAAAGTGCAGGCCGTCTGTGGGGGGAGCTCATATCGTCCATATAAGTCTCTGGAATATTCCTTTAGAGCAGGGAACAGGATTTGGCTTTAGTACCTTGTGAGCTTGCAAACTTATCTGGAAAAACGAATTACCAGGCCACGCTATTTTCACTAAGGTGGTATTAAGTATGGCACAAACTCACATCCTATTGCCTCAAAACCAATGCAAGCCAAACCAAACCCAAACAGAGGTTGTGCGGCCATCTTATTAAACGTAATTCCAGGGAGTACCGCAGTCTTCCAGCAGAGGACTTAAGACGGGAGCCTCCAGTCTGTCCCCTGGTCCCCGTCGCCGTACAGAGACCCCTCCTCAGACTGCAGTCTGACCTCAGGCAGTCACCCGGCAGGCCTTGGGGCACTTGGCCCCAAGCCACCCCCTACTTGCTGCCAGTGGGCCCTCTGGGTCTGGCTGAGGCCGGAAGCGCTGGGCCCTCACAGGCGACAGAGCAGGGGCCGGGCAAGGTAGGGACAGGCATGGCAGTGGCCCCTGGCTCTGCCATGGGCTAGCTGGACAGCTCTGTTTAAGGTGCCCCGCTTCTCTGAACCTCAAGGGCCTCTCTGCAAAGTGGGGCTCCAAACTACTGAGCAGGAAGAAAGCCCGCCCCTGCCACCATCCCCGGGGCCCTGCCCCAGGCGCGCCGCCCCTGCGTGCCTCCCGCAGCCCCCAGCCTGTGGCTGGAGCGCCCCGAGGCAGGACCGGGCTGGCACTCGCCGCTGCGCACAGGATGGCACACCCCGGGGGTTGAGGGGGGAGGAGTGCACGCGGGCCGGGGCCGGGCCTCACTCGGAGAAGCGGTCGTAGAACGGGGAGCGCAGCAAGTAGTAGAGCAGCAAGATGGTCCGGCGCCGCAGCTCTAGCCGCTCCCTCCGGCTCAGGCCCTTCCTGTCGCTCAGGAGGCTCAGGCTGGGGGCAGAAGGGGACAAGGTCAGGGCCAGCAGTGGGGCGGGTGGGGGCGGGGGCATCTGCTCAGGTGAGGACAGGCCCACGGCACGAAGCCCGGCAGAGGGAGCGGACTCCCCAGGCAGGCCTGGGCTCACCTGGTCACGTCCACGACCCCAGACAGGAGCCAGGGTGTCCACGACCGCTGACCCCATAGGCCCAGGCTGAGCACTGACGGCCAAGGTGTCAAGGAGGTCTCCGGCACACGGCCCACCCACCCACTCCCCATGGGGCCTGCCCCGCAGGGCCAGCCAGTGGCGGGCAGAGGATACAGTGCAGCAGGGGCCGGGCGATATACAAGGACTCTGCGATGGTCTCCTGCAGCCCCAGCGGGGTGTGGGGGGTGACCCTCAGCTCCTCGTGCTGCTGCTGCCGCCGCCGCCGGCCCTCCCGCTGCGGGGGCGCTCCCCAGTGCCTCGAGTGCAGGGACGGGGCTAGAACACAAGGGCAGCGGATGAGCAGTCAGGCCCAGGCTGACCTCTGCCCTGAGGCGCCCGGGGCCATGACTCCTACACTTACTGTTCTGGAGGGTTCGTACCACTCGGTTCGACCGCTTCCCCACGTATGACTGCTCCTGGCCACCAGCACTCTGGTCACCATCTAGCAGGGACAGACAGAAGGCCATGCTGTCAGAGGGACATGTTTGCAGCGGAGCCCGCGGAGAACCCGCATGCAGTGAATGCCCCCGGGCTAAGGGGGGAATGGGTGGGCGTGGGTAAGCCTGTACTACAGCAGGCGGCTGAGGCAGGACGCTGTCGCCAGGGCTGTGCATCAGCACTCTCCCCGGATGGGGAAAGCGCAGCATGACTCGTGGTAGGGGAGCCAGCCAAGAAGCCAGGCCTCCCAGGGACTGGAGTGATGGAGGGAGGGCCCATGTCTTCTCAGTCCTTTGCTTTCAATATGACCAAGTGGAGAAGCAAAGAACAGTCCCCACGGAAGGCCAGAGGCATCAGGCCTGGACGCCAACCAGTGAGGAGTCCAAAGCCCCGAAGGGACAGATCTGCCAGGTACCCTGCCTCATGCAACTCTGGCTCTTGATATACAGAACGAGGCCCAAAGACATGGTTGGCAGGACCTCTGTCTCCTACTCATGCTGTCCCCCGTTCCACAAAAAGGAATGAGGACTCTGGCACCAGGAGTCCTGAGTTCAAGTTCTGATTTTGCCCCTAGCCTCATCTTTCTTTTTTTTTCTCTGTACAATACAGGGTGATGACAGCAAACTGAGCTGATGGGGATAAATGTGCTCCATAAGCAGACAACACTCTACTCACATTGGCTGGCTCTAAACCCACAAATTAGCTCCATGTGCCAGGCCACTCCAGAACGTGGAAACAGCTTACCCGGGGGCTGTGCCTGGGTCTCCCGGTCCAGCGGAACGATGGGGGGTGAGGTCTGGAGGCCAGCCTTGAACCAGATCAGCAGGAACATCCGCAGGACAGCCCTGGGTTGGGAGTATGGCAGGGCTGCGGGGGAGGTGGCTAGCCAGCAGGGGGCCAGGGGTGCTCTGGTGAACCCCACACGAACTGCTGGCCTGAGTCACCCCCACCCAGGGCCTGCCCTCCTCAGTCCCAACGTACTTGGCCAGCTGGATGAGGGCGATGACAAGCCAACGGCCCACTTCACCCCACACCTTGGCGGCCCCCATCTCCATGAACACCTCCACACACTCGAGCACGCTCAGCCATGTCAGCAGCTTCTGCTGGGACAGCGACTACAAGGACCCCAGGCCAAGAGATCAGGGTTGGCGCGGGGGGGGGCCCAGTCCCAGGCCCTCCTCCTAGGTGATTCCTCTGACAGGAGAGGTGGATTTTCCCCTAAGACTACCCCTGTAGGCCTGAGTTCTCCAGATAGCAGAGGCTACCCTATGTCTCTGAAATTCAGTCTCTTCATCTGCAACAGGGACACTAACAACTTGACCCTCCGCCTAATGAGATGGCTTGAAGCTCAGATGGACGTAGGCATGTCTCACACTCTTGAGACCATAACACACGCTACACACATGGACTGGCGATTACTGCTTCACTCCCAAGTCCCTATGCTTCCCGCCCTCAGCTCCTGACAGAATTCTCACCACAGGTAACTTTTTCCGAAGCTCCTTCCGCAGGATCCCATCATTGAGCAGCACAAGCAGGTTAGAGGCAGAGTACACTGAGGGCGGGGGGAAGAGTTGTGGCCGTGAGGGGCTGGTTCTGAGGCCTCTACACCCTCCCCTTCTCCCCACAGCTGCAGGGATCACCTGTTACCTGCTCTACTCCACCAGCCACAGGCCGTGTAGAAACCCACCCGCCTCCCCACCCACTTCCTCAGAGCTGCCCACTCCCCAGTATGATCTTGTGTGGGTGGCTGGAACAAGAAAGGAGAGCTTGGTCTCTGTGACAAAGCAGCTACTGCCCTGCTGCAGAGCCCTGGTCAGCCAGCTGCCCAGACCTGCCCGTCGCTCTCAGCAGCCATGGATGTGTGGTCTCGCCTCCAGGCCTCAGCTCCCTGCGGCCGGTCCCTGAAAGGCGGCTCCACCTCTACCTCCACTACCCTCCAGGGCTCCCTGGGCAAACACGCCTGAGGCAGTCACAGTCCGGGGCTCCTCGAATGTGCGAAATCCGGGCTTGAATGCTGGCTCCGGGATCACCAGTAGCTGTCCCCTAACCTCGCTGAATTTCTGTTCCCTTTACTGGACACTGAGGACAGTAACAGTACATCGTAGGACTACAGGGAGGGTTAACTGGGCAAAGGCAGGCAAGGTACTTGGGCCAGCCGCCTGACCAGTCAAGGTCCCCGGATTTGTCTCTGGACTATGGGGGACCCGAGACAGTGGACTCTGGACCTTTGGTCCGACTCAGCACAGGGCCATGTAACGGAAAACCTAGGACAGCGAACCGGGGTGGTCCCCGCTCTGGGAAGCCCCGCCGCCCCCCATCCACCCCAGAGCCCCACTCACCCAGCTCTGACAGCTCGTGCGAATCCGCGAAGCGACCTGGGGAGAAGGCACAGGAGGCGACGGTGAGCATTTGCCGCAGCCTGCGGCTTCGGGGCCCTGGACATCCCCTCCCTGTGCCCTACGGGAACGTGGAAGGAACTTCTCAAGCACAGCGATCACTACCCTGACTCCGAAGGGAAGGGGCCCGTGGGGTCAGAGGTCAGAGCCCCTAAGCGGTGGGGCAAAGGTCAGGGTAGCACCTGCCAGCAGGTAACTGAGGCCCCGCACTGCCGTCTCCAGCTGGGCCGTGGCGGCCGGGTGACGAGTCACGTACTCCTGGTAGCGGAGGCTCAGAAGCCGCAGTTTCTCCATCCTGCCCTCGGGACCGACAGACTCACGGACCGACAGTACGACGAGCTGTAGCACCCTGCTTCCTGCGCCCTCCTTCCTGCTTCCGGTCCTAGGCCCGCCTCCTCGTGGCTTAACTTCCGAGGGCCAGAAGGATGATGACGTGAAGGGCCATTGAACCATCCTTCACCCCATTTCTTAAATCACCTCCCACTACGGTAGCGCTTAGCAACTGCGGGCCTAATCCCGCCTTCCCTGCTCCTTCAGGTCATTGGTTAAGCACACTCTCCGCCCCCGACCCCCCGGCGTTGTTGGGAGGCGCTGCTTCCGCCTTCCGGGTGGGTTGCTTTTGCGCCTGCGCAGTTAACAGTTCCAAGAAAGCTCCCGCGGTTGTCTGAGCAGTTCATTCTAGAGAATGGACTAGGACCCTGGAGTCTTTCCAATAGAACGCCGAGAGGCTCGAACGGGAGGACCGTATTTTAAAGGGCTGGGAGGCAGCTTGCTAAAGGAACTTCGATCAGACTTGGGGAGGTGCGGGGAGAGTCCTGGCAGGGGCCCGTTTAGCCAGTTGCCTCGTCCCCGGACCCCCACCAGACGTAGTGCTGGGGAAACTGAGGCAAGGAAGAATCCAGCCTTCCACGCAGTCTCGATTCCCTGGTCAGCCACTGTTAGTGCTGGGCTTCGGCCACAGCTCCCGCATGGACTGCGCGGACGTGCACTCCCATCTTCGCTGAGAAAACTGTTTCGGCCTTCCGCTCCTGGCTTGGGGTGACTTGGTCGAGTGTTTCCTTTCTCTGGGTCTCGAGTTTTCCCATCTGTAAAATGGTTTGAGGGGAGACTTGGTCCTTGAACTCGGGCTCAATCTCAAAGCGCTTTTCGGCCCTCGGATGCACCTCCCGGTCCTCAGCTGTTCCCCAAGGGACGGGGGAGACTCCTGGGAATCTTCCCAAACCGGGCGGCCTCCCTGATAGGGGCTGTGGCGGGAGAGGAGCGGCCAGAGGTAGGGAATCTGACGCTCCGGGGAGGCCGCCACTGATTGGCTCCGTGGGGAAAGGGGGCGGAGCCTGGGTGGGGTCAAGGGGCTGAGCCCTTGCGGACTGGTTCACGGTACTCTGAGAGGAGTAATACGTTATTTTACCTGATTCCCTCTACGGGATTCCCTTTACGGGATGTTATCTGCAGGTGTGGAAAGGATCTGCTTAAGAACGCCCAGTCACATTCGAATCTTGGTCTGGTCTGACCACAGCATCTAGGCGGTTTAAGCAACACACCTTACTAGGAAGCCACAGCCTCTCCTTGCCCTCCCCTCGCCCTCACCCTCCTCTCCAGCTTAGTTTTCTTCTCTATCAGGTGAGGAATCAGAGCTGCTCTCGCTTCTCATGCCAAGCAATGATGACCCAGGGAGATGTGTCCAGGGGCCTCAGGAGAGGCTACAGGTCTTGGAGAACAGGGTGGTCGTGGGCATCGCCAACATCGTTTCTCACCACTTCCTGGGGGCCAGACTCACTCCTACACCACTCCTGGCCACCTTGCCAGCTAGGTATGAACTCTTTTTCACAGATGGGGAATAAAAGGCCCCAGTAGGTGAAAGGACTTGTCCCAGGTCACATAGCGTGGCATTGGCCAAATGGACCACAATGTGTGTCTCCCACAGCAGTGCTCTCTCTCCTACTGCCCACAACCCAGCAAGGGCTGTGACACAGTGAGGCCACTTGGTCGTGAGTCAAGTTAGAAGCTGGGGTTAAGACCAGCGCTCAGGGCATTCAGTGTGGGGCTCTTTCTCCTTTCCTCCCTGTACCCCACCATCTTCATTTTTTTAAAGATTTTATTTATTAGAGAGAGACAGTGAGAGAGGGAACACAAGCATGGGGAGTGGGAGAGGGAGAAGTAGGCTTCCCGCGTAGCAGCGAGCCCAGTGCGGGGCTCCATCTTAGGACCCTGGGATCATGACCTGAGCCGAAGGCAGACGCCCAACGACTGAGCCACCCAGGTGCCCCATGTACTCCACCATCTTAATGAACCTGTTCCCGAACCTCTCCTTCCCTGCAGGACTGGGAGAGGAGCGTGGGCCCAGCCACTTTGGCAGCAGCAGAGCTGCCTGAATTTCCTCTCCAGATCTCAGGCCTGATTAAGTCCCAGAAACAAAGAGTGGGCCATGTGTGCCAGAGGCACCCAGCGCAGCCCCACCCTGCTGGGTGCCTGCCTGGCATTGGTCACCTGGCTGGGCTGGAAGGGCCTCTGGGCAAGTTGGACCAGAACCTCCCTCCTTCAGTCTGCCCTGAGCCACAGGAGAAGAGAGCTAGACCAGTCTAACAAGTACAGAGGAGGACACTGAGACCCAGAGAGGGGGCCTGACTGGGCTAAGGTCACACAGCAAAGTCCTGGGCAGAGCTGGGTAAACCAGGTCTCAGGCCTAGAAGACCAGCACCCTTTCATAGGCCCACCCCCTGGCTCCCATTCCCCCTGCCCCCGAGCAACCTCTTGGAGGCCCAGGAAGCGGCTCAGCAAGCAGCTTCCCCTGAGTGGTAAGGTTAAGGGAGAGGTGGGGCCAGCATTGTGAGTAACCACAGTAGTTCCGAAAGCCCCAGCTCCTGTCACACTCCCTGGCCAGGCCCTGACCTGTGTGCTCTACCCTCTCCCTCACATTTATTACCCCCCTCGACCATCCCCAGTCTCTGTTGAGGGGCTTGGGGAGGGATTCGTCCACCCCACTCCAGCTCCAGGCTAGAGATGAGGGTCAGGGGATGCTGAAGGCTCAAAGTTCCAGACGCCAGGATGGCCCCTGCATTCCCTCATCTCCTTTTAATTCCCAGATGTCCAGGGACCCACCATCAGTCTCCGTGGCAACCACTACCCCTGGCCTCCAAAACTGGACTTTCCTGGAAAACCCCCATCTCCCAGAGAAAGGCATCCCAGCGTCTTGAAGGAGGAGACTTGAGGGGTCTAATGCTGGCCTGCTTTTCACAGCTTCTTTTGGGGTTAGGGTCTCCCAGGCCCTCACTTTTTTTTTTTTTTAAGATTTTATTTATTTATTCATGAGAGACAGAGAGAGAGAGGCTGAGGGAGAAGCAGGCTCCCCAAGGAGCAGGGAGCCTGATGCGGGACTCGATTCCAGGACCCTGGGATCATGACCTGAGCCGAAGGCAGACGCTTAACCATCTGAGCCCCCCAAGCGCCCAGGCCCTCACTTTTTATAGGTGAAGTTGGGCTAAGCTGGCTCACGGAGAGGCCTGGTGCATCCCATCCACGTTCCCCACATACTTAGTGCTTAGTGGGTACTGGACCCTGGTTGGGCTCTGGGACCGAGTACAGGACGAGATACACAAGGCTCCAGTCCCACGAGCAGCCTTCTTGGGGTGGAGGGGGACCTATAAACAAGTCCACAAGGTCAACTTCAGAGGAGTGCTAGGAATAAAATAAACCAAGGGATGTGGAAGGAGGAACCGGCGTCAGGAGAATCTGGTAGAATCCAGGCAGAAGGAACATCAAGGGCAAGTTCCGGGGCAGGAAGCCCTTAGAGAAGAGCCTAGGAAGGGGTGTGGGGAAGGGGTGGGTGTTCTAACAGATCACTTCACTTCGCAGGGAAGGTAATGCCTGCGTCACAGGACTGAGCGGGAGGGTTAACTGCGATGAGGCTCGTCAAACCTCAGCACCGGGCCTGGCACGGAGAATGTGCGCTCAGCCAACCGCCACTCTTGTCGCTCAGGGGCCAGAGCGCCCACCACTCCCTCCAGGGCCGAGGCCGGGCTGCGGGGTGCGAGGCGGGGCAGAGTGAGAAATCCAGTCCCAGCCCCAGTCCCCCGGTCTAGGCAAGGGCGGGGGGGGGGCGCGAATCCCGGTGCCCGCGTCAGGGAGTCCCCTTGCCAGCTCCCGGGCAGGACACGACCTTCGCAAGGCGCCTTTGTCCGGGCCGCGCAGCCAGGCGGGCCGGGCCGCGGGAAAGGCAGGGGGCGTGGAGCGGCCCCGGAGCTCCAGGTGCTCCGCAGCTCCCGGGCAGGGCTCGGCCGGCCCCGCCTCCAGTGCCCAGAGCAGGTGTCCCTGGCCCGCGAGGCCCCGCATTCCACTCCTTCCTCCTGAGCCCCGCCGTCCCTTTGATCCCGGGCCCGGGGTCACGGGCCCCTCCCCCGTTGGGAGGTTAAGGGCAGGAGATGGGGCCTCAGGGCTGGGAAGAGGGGGATGGGCTCAGGGCAGGTGGCGGGACTGGGCCTTCCTGGGTGGCTGCCCCCGCTCCCTCCAGCCATCCTGGGGGTTTCCCGGGTTCCTCCCGGGCTTGGCGGGGTGGTCGTCCGATGCCGGGGCAGAGGGCGGGGCCAGTCCTCCTCGTCCCCCTCCCGTCCCCTCCCCTCCCCGGGGCCTCCCCGCCCCTTTGGGCTCAGCCAAGCGGAGGTGAAACCTGAACCCAGGTTGGGGGCGGGGCTGGCCTGCACTTCCACCCCCTTCTCCTGCACCCCGGCCGGCTTCTGGAAGAGGAAGGTCGGGGTCCCCAGGCCGCTGGGACAGGTGAGGTGGCGACTCAGAGCGAGAGGGAGGACCAGGCGGCCGTCGGGCCCCGTCGCCCAAGGCTGATCCTCCCCCGCCTCCCTCCCGGATCCGCAGGGACAGCGATGGAGCCGGCAGCCCGGGGTGGCGCCCCGCCCTGAGCACCCCCGCCGGCAGCCATGCTGCCCCGAGGGCGCCCCCGGGCTCTGGGGGCCGCGGCGCTGCTGCTCCTGCTGCTTCTGATCGGCTTCTTCCTGTTCGGCGGAGACGTGGAGTGTGAGCTCGGCGAGCGAGGAGGCGAGCGGAGGGGCCCGGGATCCTTACCCTGCCCGCTGACGCCACGTGTCTCTGCAGACGGGCGGCCGCGGGGGGCTGCTGCCGTCGACGGAGACCCGTCTGCGGACCGCGGGGGCCGCAACCGCTCGGACTGCGTCCCGCCGCGGCCGCCGCTGCCCAAGTGCGAGGTAGGTGAGCGCGGCCCCGGGCGGCGGGAATCTCAGGGGCGCCGCGCCCCCAGCCGGGTTCCCCCGCCCGCGGCACCTGTGGGAATCACGACACCTGGCGAGGCTCCGCCAGGTGGCTCCGGGACTGACCAGCCGGTCGGGGATGACTCCCCTGCTCCCGGCCTCAGTTTCCCCATTTGTGAAATAGGGGTGAACATCCTGCTCCACATCCCCCCGCCCCACTCTTCCTTAGCTCTGTTGCCGGGCGGGGCTCGACTCCGGTTCCCCACGCCGGGCCAGCCCCGTAGTGGGTCCTTACCGTCCAGTGGGGGAGGGGCTGCTGCCCACCTCTGCGTCCCCTCCCCAGCTCTTGCACGTGGCCATCG